GATCGGAAATCAAGTGGCTAAAAGTAGAAGAAATAAAAATAAGCGGATTGTGCTTTGCTCTTGGACTTTAAATAATTTTGCTCATCGCTGCAACGCATTCGTAAAGATCTATATAATTTTTTTTAGCGGATTATTTAATCAGTCATAAAGAGAAGAAGAAAACAAGAGTAGATCAATGAATGTTTATTCAGGACATTAATCTAAAACAAAGACGTTAATAAGGAAATGGATGTAAAAATAAGAATAAATTGAATACAATCAAAAAGCGCGAGAGTATATACTTTAAAATCTATGGATATATTACCGCAGGCAAAAATCATCTGCAATAGTCAAGATCTGGCTCTGGACCTATGCTTCAAAATGATAATTTTTTGTAACACCAATTTAATACAAAAAAAAGATAAAAAATGAGGGTTTTGACCTTATCTTTCCATTTTTGGAAATTTTTGTCTGGGGTAATTATGCCTTTGGGGATTTTTATATAAAACTAGTAATAATAATGGCCTCCCAAGATCATTTAAAAAATAAATAGCAGTTCTATTAACCCTTTAATGCTAAGCCTTCATTACACAAGTAAAAAATTATTTCTTTTAAAATTATTTATATACTCCTTATGTAAAATATAAATTATATTATATAATGCATAGATGGAAAAATCTGATGATCCAATTTGACATCATTGACCGAAAGAACGTGTAAAGTACAAATAATTTAAAACAATTTCCATCTTGATAAAAACATAAATGAATGTTACATTTTATACATGTGGTTCTTAATGATACATTATTCATAATTTACATGTTTGCAGTGTGTTATAAACATCTGGTTTGTCGGTGTTGTCATATCAAACTGTCGTGCAGGCAAGAGCATTAATTTTTTGGAAGGACTTCCAGCCTCTCTTTTGGTAATTTTTTCCTTCACATGTTTTAACAATCACTGGTTTAAATTCAATAAGTTTCATATATATTCTTCCTTTTTCTATACTACATAACTTCAGTTTTACGACCAAATTTACAAGCTATCTAATAAGTGAAATAACTGAGGTAGAAACGGCTGCCTTTTATATCCATTATTATTTAATTTGACGTCTGTCTATAGATATACAATATAATTTATTGCAATGATAATTAAAATAAATCAACCTAATGACCTTTTTGGGATCATCCACTATTAAATTGTTTATAAAAAAGCAAAAATATTTTTAATAAAAATAAAAGCATGAAAAGTAGTTGTATATAATGATAAAAATTTCCCAGAACTCTTGAATCAATTCTGATTTATAAGCACTTAAATATAAATTTATTTGTTAAAAATCAAAATTGGCGAAAAGTTAAAAGCTCATAAAAAATAAATATGATCCTGGTAGTTTTGAAAATACGAGTATATGTTATTATATTATAATGTCATTAAGGGGATCTAAAAAAAATTACATATACCAAATAAAGTCATGGGGTCAAGGATTGGTAGAATGGATAAGGTAACTAAAACTTAACTACTTCTTGAAAGTATTTTGTGCAAATGTCTAAAATACAATACGAGATATGATATAAAAAAAAATTAAGAATATTAAAAAATTATTTTTATATTTTTCGTTAAAAATAAAATTTTAAAATTTCAATTTGTTAGTTACAACTATAACATTAGGTTACTAATATAATATTTAGATGCTACTATTTATAGTTTAGAAGTTAGCCACACTTTTGTCAATCCATTTTACTCCAATAATAAGGTAAAATGGCGATAAAGTAAAACAATTAACTAACATTATAACAAAATTTAATAGTTTTTTACATATTCTATTATCATATGAAGAAGAAATATATTATAAATAGTAAAAATATAAAATCAAAGCAATATAGACATTTATAATGACTATCATTATTTGCATACTTAAAATGTACCAATTCCGTGGATATTGTGCACTTAGCCCATTGTACGAGATCTTTTCTAGCTTTATTTACTCAGTATATTAGACGGATGCAATTATCACCTATTTATTAGATTTTTTTGGTAGCCCATTGCACGAGATTTTTCTAGCTTTATTTACTTCGTATATTACACGGATTCAATTATCACCTATTTTTATATTTTCTTGGTATTCAATTAAGGTATAGCTACGTTTTACCCCAAGACCTCTAAGCAGAGTTGTTAATCGCTACTTTTAAAAGTAGCGCGCTACCGCTATTTGTCAAAAAAATTAGCGCGCTACCGCTATCGCTATTTGTCAAAAAAAGTAGCGCGCTATTAGCTACTATTTTTTAATAGCTACTTTTTATTGGAAACAAATTTGTTTTTATTTTTTGCTTATAATGTTATTGTATAGTAAATATATAAAAATCAACATTTATAAATATTAAAATACAGTTAGTTTATGATTATAAAAAAATTTATGGCAATTTGTTGCATTTTATAAGTTTTTACCTAGTGTTATGTGTCCAACTATCTGCATGGTACATATATATGATGTCTCTGATAACTCTATTATTAGAGCATCTTTCATCACTTTAAAGTTATCTGCTATTTTATTCATTAGTGTCTGGCGACATAAAATTGTTGTACCAAGGGATAGTTTTAATCATCATGGTAAATGATGGATTATCAACCAAGGACATTGGCTGAACTGTATCAATTATAAAATCAACAATAACTTTTAACTTTATCAGCCAATTTTTAAAAATATTGACATTTGTATTATTAATTAATTTGGTTTGAATTAAATTAGTCTTTTTGGATGTAGAGACGCCTATACCAAAATTATTTAGATGTTTATCCATTTCCTTAAAACTATTGGCATGAACAGTCTTATAAAATAAATACTATTAGAATGTAAAAATGACAATATATCTTTTGGTGTTTCTTGAGGTTATAACTGAATTCAATTGAGGAAATATTTTTTTTACATTTTAAACAAATAAATTTGAGGCCAGTTTTGGTTTTTATATTTATTTTAAAAAAAATTTTCAACTAGGGAATGGGAAATTTGTATTATGGCAATTAAGAACATTTTCTTCCCTGATATCTTCCATTTCATTAATATCATTGACTGAATCACTTTCAACGATTTGGATATCAAAAGGCGATGACATTTTAAATTACTAACACGTGATTTAGGTTTATAATACAAATGAAAATATAAATTAAAAATATATTTCAAAATTAAATAATAAATCATAAAAATTATAATTAATTATGATATTATATTTAAATTTTCATATTTATACTTACTTACCTTCATTATATTTTTTTAAAGTAGCGCGCTAATTAGCTACTCTCAAAAAATGCAGCGCGCTAAAAAATTAAATAATTACAAAAAAAGTAGCCGCTATTATAGCTACCAAAAAAGATAGCGCGCTAGCTCGCTACTTTAATAATTCTGCCTCTAAGTAACTTAAGCGCGACTTTTCTAAACTCAATTATATAAATTTCAAAAATTAAATTTTTCGCCATTATCTAAGATGCTTCGCAATCACTCTATTCATACCACGCCATTCAATTTAAAAATAAATAAATATAATCTATAATTAATTGCATTTGCATAAGGAGGAACAAATTTTAAGTAAAAATTACTAAAACGTGCCAAAAAAAGTGTTTGGCAAATGAATTATCAAAAGCAAAATGTAGTTGCCAAAATTATAACAATCACATGCTAAAGTGTTAAATTTTCGAATATTATTTGTTTCAAGATCTTTAATAAAAAAATTCGTTTAGAATATGTACAAAAAATAGAAGTTGTTCTTGTTACTAGAGATGTATCATAAATTTTTTATTTTTACTAGAAATAGCGCTAATATTAAATAATTGTATATATTATTTAGATAGTTTTAAAATAAGAGCTGTAGTCACGGTTCAAACTAGAGGATTTATTTATCGGGCTAGATATTTATATTTTGAGGTTAGGAATTCAGATGTGAATTACTAGATAGTTATTGTAATGGAGTCAACTTTTGAGTCTCAACCTTTATAAAAGACTTGCTCGATATTAAGGAATGAGGGGTATAGAAAAAGTGATATGTAATTAAAATATTTTTTTTTACTAGTGTTATTTTTTTTAAAAAAAATCAGAGATTTGCAAAGTAAAAATTTAGAGCCACGATAGGATTTTTTTTAAGGATGAGTTAAACATATATTCTTGTTTTATAATAAGAATAACTACAAAATATAGATTAATATATATAATTATTTGGTTTTTTTATTTCAACTATTATCCTCCATGTTCAGTTATAATAATAACCATAATGCTTTTTTACAACAGACCTTTTTAGTATCGACAATGAATGATCCACACTTTAAAGTACATGATATTAAAAGATAATGTTTTAGACACCTCCATTAGATATCTAAGGAAAATATAATATGTATAAAGTAAATAATAATTTCAGTTTAGATGAATGAAACACAAAATAAATCCAAGAAAGTGATTTTTTTGAAAAAATATATCAGGTTTGAAGAAAGTTAGTCATAATAATAATAGCTTAGAAATAAGCAAATATATTGACGATCTAAGAATTCAAATTTACTAGACCATCAAAAATATATATCAAATATTATCGAAAAATTTCAAAATTATCCGGAAATTACAGCCTTTTCAACTAATTCTGAAAGGGCCTTTTTTAATGAAAAAGAAATCGGCGACTAAATCAAAATTTTTTATCTATTTTTCGGGATTTTAAATCCTCGTTAAAAAAAGAATTTCGTCTCATAAAATGTTGAGGATTGGTTCTCACACTGTTTTTATGAAACAGCCAATGCTTCATGTGGTTTTAATCTTGAGTTTTTAATATTAGTTTCCAGGCCCTATCGGAAAAGTCCCCAAAAGCGAGGACGGATCCAAAAAATTTAAAAAATTATGTCGTGTATTAGAAAAATTCTTAAAAAACTAGAATAGAAAATGTTTTCGCAAATTTAATTTTTTTTTATAAAAATCGGATAGGCCCCCGATTTTTTTTCATTATACCGAAACCCAAAGTCTAATACATTTTAAATTATAATAATTTTTTTACTAGTTTGTCATCGTATGTCCATTCATTGTCCACTAAAAATCGGTAGTGATGAGTCCCTTCAGGCAATTCAATGATCATAGCAAAATGTTCTTCACTAATTCGAACAAAATTTAATCATCAACAAATCATAAATAATTTTTTATAAGAACCAATTAATCACTTCCTCAAGAGATCAATGATCATAAGTTAAATTTGTATTTTAAAAAATCGTTATTTTTCAGTAATCGATTAAGGTTTAAGGCTGTGTCCTGGGTCGAGTTAATTTTGATACTTAATTGCTTTTTAGACTAGATTAAACAGTTTTTGGACACACTATTCTGGCTTGTTTTAAAATTTGGTAGCATGTTTATTTTATTCTCGTTTTTTCTAATATTTTTTTAAAATTTTCTTTTGATTTTTTGACTGTTTAGTAAAAAGTCGACCCAGAACATGGCCTAAAGACTATAAAAAATTTAGCAATCGTTATTTTAATAGAAAAAATTTATATGAATTTGATAATTAGCTTCCATAGAAAATAAACTTGTATTTTATATAACAGCTCTTTTACCAATTTATTCGACATTTAAAAATTTAGGTTTTGTCATTTCATTATTTTATGAAAATAACTATCTTTTTTTAAGCAATAAACCGTTTTTTATTCTTTCATTGCTAATTAATTTTTTTCTAAGTTTTATTTATGAATAATGTAAATTGAATATAATTAATTTAAGAAGATTTATTATTAATACAAATTAAAATCTACAGTTTTTAAAATTGAAAATATAATTTTTTTTTGTCAGGTTAAAGAAAATCGATATTAATATTTAATTATATTAGGATATATATGCTAAATGGATTTTAATTTTTTTTAAATTAGAGATTTCTTCATAACAAAGTGATAAAAATGATCCATTTTTAATACCTAGCTTTACTCAGAGGTTAGCCTGTGTCAATATTATCCAAGACTTTTTGAGCGCTAGAGAGCGCAACTTTTTTTAGGTCAATTTATTTTTGCAAAACGAATTTGATATTAAACGTAGAACTCCTTCCATGAAATCCAATTCATAACTTAAAACTGAAAAGCAGCGCGAAGAGGCCATTATGAGTTTATATTTGATTTCACCGGAAGGGGAACTTGGCGTCCTAAAATGAAATTCAATTCAGCAAAATAAAAAGCTTGATCCCAACACAACATTTATAAGAACTAGGATCAGTTTATATATTTTTTAAAGAAGAGTATTACTATATAATAAATCACCGACCTTTTATTAATAATCAATAAAAATTTAAATTTTGCTCTAAAATTTAATCAAAATTTTTTATTTCCAGTTTAAAAAATTATCCTAAGCGATCTGCGCGCGACCAGGCCGTTAAGAATCTTTTCTTAAAGTTTCCTAGCCCGAGTGTCTAGGCAAATAATATTCAAATGACTGAACAGGATAGGCCAATTTCGTACGAATTACCTGGTCAGTTGTAATTTTTTAAAGAATTCACCCGACCTGCGGAGATTTCTATGAATAATAAATTATGAAAATACAAGATGACCAATTTCAAAAATAAATGAGTTAATAAAAACAGTCGCGTCGATAAGTCTTATCACAAACGTGGTCAAAAAATAAAGAATATTCTAGCGGCGCTAAAATTAACGATTGCTTATATTTAAAGATACCTCTGAACAAAAAATCAATGTTTATAATACAATTTATTTATGTTACGAAGTTTGAAAAAAAATGAAGTTTGTATTTTAATTTATATTTTTCATAATTGCTTTTACATAAAATGTCATGATCTCTATCGAAAAGTTGTAATTATAATTGTTACATTATCGATCTAAAATTATTAACTAGAAGCTAATTAGTGTTAAAAACTTCCTCGAGAAACCTATTAATATTTTGATAATTAAGCACCCTGATCCAATTCTCGCAAAAATTTATAATACAGATATAATATTGTTTTAATTCCATTTAAAATCAATATCAAATAAAAAAAAACTATTTTCAACCTAACCCCCTCTGTTATTAAGAAAAAATAAAAAAATAAAGTTAGAATAATGTTTTAAATGTTATTATATAGCTTAATGATATATAAAATAAAATTTAATATAGTAAAACTTTAGTTTTATTAACAAAAACCGAAAGTAGACCAGAAAATTTTCATTTTTTTTACAAACCCTTTATTGTATAATTAAAATCCTAGATTAGATCTAACATGAGTTTAGATGTTATAACTCTAAAAATTAGTCTCAAATGGCTAAAATGATTAAATTTAGAGGTACTTGATGAAAACGTGTTACATGAGGGAAAATGGGATATTTCTTTACTCCTATTGCAAGTTTTGCATATAAATTCTTTTCATAAGCCATTTCAAAAGCAACTTCTAATATTTTTCTTATAAATGTATAACAAAATTTTCATGATTTTATTTAAAAATAAGGTGTTTATATAAATATGAGTTTCTAAATATTAAACATCACTCTGTCATAAAAAATTTGAAACATCTATCATTCCATGTTTATTAAAATAAAAAAATTTTTGTATTAAAAAATTAATATGGAATTTTTCTTTGTTTATCTCTATTATGGATTTTTGTCATAGTGACCTTTTGCAATATCAAAGTGACGACTATGGGCTTAATTAGAACTAAAAAAGGATACAATGTGATATGTAAACCTGTATAAAGGTCGAATTTTTAGGCCCGCCACGAATTTAAAAAATTTATACCGGTATTTAGTAATAAACTAAACTAATTTTTATACTTTGTTAAATTTTATTTTATATAAAAGGTCTGTTATAAGCTTTATAATAAAATTTCTTGCTTAATTATTTCCAGAGATATTTGAAAGTAAATAAAATACCTTTTCAAATTTACATTCAATTTTTTTCTTCAAAAATTGAGGATGTCAGGTAGTCTGATTTACTGATGCCCTTAGCGCCACCCAAAATTTAATTTTAAATAAGGATTTGATTTAGTAACCTAAAAACTAAAGGAAGTCTTTTCTTCCAGCCATCCCAGCTTCCCACAATGCTCACAGTTTTGGGATGGGACTTGTGGTGCTCTTGAGCCTCCAATTTACCGACTCCTTGTTTGTCCATTTTCGGGCATTTCCATCTAAACACAGCCGGTAATCTATCCTTAGCTGACGTTTCGAATTCTTTTACATAAGGTTGGTGAGAATGTCGGAGTCGCCAGAACGCGAGAGAAGGGTAGGCTTGACTTATGGTTTTAGCTCGTGGTCTGAGAAAGTGAGGGGATGGCGGATTCGAGGTATAAGGAGTAGAGGGGGCCCCTGGGTCTTCGAAACCCTGTATTTCATAAAAATTGATAAGATAGATTTTATATGAAACTTCTTAATCATTAATAATATTAATTAAAAATCGATATTTAATGATGTAATATGATATATGAGTCGTTATGCGAAAAATGACACCGAGACCAATCTTACCTTTAATATTGTCGCAGCAAAAAAACCTTTATACCAGGAATGCACCGATATCGATTCTTTTAATTTTTACCAAGACCAGTAGCCGATTCAAAATAATAATTAGCTCTCATAAATTAAAAAAAACTCAAGACGTGGATTGATAAGAAAATAAGAGTGATCTAAATTGAACAGATAAGACTTATTCCTTTTTACTTACAAAATGTTGCGACTTTATTATGAAGAACAATCATAAAATAAAATAAATTATGTAGTCTATAAGTTTTAAGAATATAGACCTGCAGAGATAAAAATTTTAGGCCCAGTCTGGGATTTTTTGAAAATTTTTTGGTTCAAACCAGAATTTAAAATCTCATTATTTTTATTTTGTGGGTAATTTGCAAATTGCTTCAAAGGGAAATTAAACATATGAGCAGTAAATGAATATTAAACGCTAAGATTTTCCCTTTGATTAATTGAGATAATTGTTTAAAAATTCTAATGGTTCAGATTTTAATCCTGGATTTTTAACATTTTTTTGGAATAAAAAATATTTGTGGAAATCAAGACTGGCGAAAAATCGAGTAATATTTTTATTTTTAAATAAATTTAAGTTTTTTTAAATAATTATATTTAGTTTTAAAAAATTCGGCATCGGATATTCTCAAATTTTGTAAAAAAATCAAACCTATTAAACTTTTTAAAATAGTAACTGAACTTTTATCATTTTTATCCCCCGATCCGTAGCTTTTATATTTAGCCCAAAACCGAAGGCGTATATAGAAATTTTATTGGAGGACCCGGTCAGTTTTTGGTCTTAACCGACCCTTATAGCAAGGTAATGTATCGGAACCGTAACGAATATCGGTTTTGGTTGAATTAAACCCATCTTTTCGCATATAAATTTATTAGAATTACATAAAGAGAAGCATATTTTTAAAATTTTTTTATCACAATTCTCTAAAAATAATATTGAGCAGTATAAAATAATAATATTATTAAGATTCTTCTTAATTACATTCATAAGGAGGACGAATAAATTCTATGGGTGAGAACACTTCTATATGTTAACCAGCCGGCACCGTTAAGTAGATGATATCCAAAATTAGTTATGATACTTATCAATCAAAATGCTCAAATAGGTATGCAGACATTTTTAGAGATTAGGTTCAAGTGGCAAAATTTTTGCTGGTTTAGGTTCTGTAAATAATAACGGTTAATACCAGTTTAGATCGCTGGTAAAACTACACTTATCAACATTATTGAATATTCAAATTATGATTTTTTTAAAAAAAACAGAATAATTCTTTTTTATAATAATTTTAAAAGTTTACGTTAATGAGTATTAAATACCATGAAAAAATTAAAACAATCATTTAATATTAAAGAATTACTTGAGAAAATTATGTGATTTTAAAATGTGAGAATATAAAAAATAATATAATTTTACATTATATATTTCTATAAATTCGTTAACAACCCATATAACAATTTTAATAAATAAAATATATATTGCATTGGTATATGGAGCATAGATCTTCAGGGGCAGGGCCGGCCCGCGGTCCATGTACCTAATATCATATTTTATAGCGGGCCTATGTTTTTAAATGGCTCTAAAAAAATTTTTTATTTAGCTCATATTGCAATTTTTTATTCTAACAATAATAAATTTCAGTATTGCAAATGATTGCCTAAATACACTTAAATATTGTTTATTTTCATAATACAATAAATTAAACTTATGAATATGGACTTGGGAATTTTTTAAAATATCAAAATGACCAGGGACTTAGCCTATTTTTTTTTCTGCGGGCCTGGACCGGGCTTGATTAAAAAAATTAGGCTTTTGAAGGTCACTGATATGGTTCGGAATCTCTCGATTTTAAATCTTACTTAAGGCTATTTTTAATTATAAAAATATGATTTGACCCAATATGTAATTTAGTATACATAGAGTACCCACACTGTGAATTTCAAACAAATTTTGCCGTGAACTTTAGAACTACTATTAATTTATATTGATTTTTAATATAAATTAAGAAATTACATCAAAGTTAATGAAGAAAATTGTATCAAATTAACAGGGTAGGCACTCTATACATGCTAAAATACATTTGTAGTTAAATAGGCTTTTAAAATCGCCTTCAGTAAATGATTTAAAATCGAGATATTACGAATTCTTGAGGATTCCATATTCCAATATGACATATATTATATAAAAAAAATTGATATATGAAATAAAATGTATATATATAATATATTGTTATATATGAGATAGCATAATCTAGTAGAAAAAACAATAACGTTGACAACTTTAAAAAAATAGGGCTGTGCCGATAAATGATATGGTTATAAGTGCATATCTCAAATTGCCACAAGATAAGCAGTAAATTTTTAAGGCATAACCATCTTGGAATGTAAATAAACTTTGAAATAATTTATTAAAAAAATATTTTAAAGAAATGTAAGCATCGGCAGATGAAATGAACCAATTTTGTGGATCGGTTTTCAACATTGCCGATCCTATCAAGAACAAATTCTTGATCAGCCAATTCTGATGCCTCTTTATAATAATTTTGCTTTATAATGTTATATCGGTATTCCGAGATGTTTATACATAAAAAAATAGCTGCCAATCTAGTGGCAATTCTAAGATACCCATTATAAACAGGTCATTTTAATATCAGTCCTAAAAAATGCATAAATTTTAGCTATAAAATAGCGGTAGCAAATTTTTTTTAAAGAAAAATAAGAGAATATAAGATAAAAATAATTTGCGATACTTATTATGGAGAAAAAGGAGCTGAAAGGGATAAGGAAGTGTTTCAAAAAGAAATATTCTTTTTTTCTACTCAAAATCGGGTCTAGCCATTAATATTTTTTATCGGAAATAACAATAGTTTAAAAATAATAATAACATCCATTTTCTCATAATATTTGCAACAAAATATAAACAAATTATCAATAAATAGAAAAGTTAGGCATTCATTATATATAAACTTGGTTTTCTTGTTTTTTTAAGCCTTGGACAAGAATTTATTTTTATTTTCAAAAATATGCCTCATTGTTTAAATTGAAATGTATTAAGTATAAAATAATATATTTTTTTTAAAAAACTATATGTTTATGAATTTGCAAGATTGCATAAGTATTTTAGTTAAAAAAGGGAACCCACGCAAAATATGTCATAAATTATCAGAGACCCGAAGAGAACCGTCGTTAAAGTAACGAACCATTAAACCATTATAAATATCAGAACCGTAACCGAACCGATATAATTATTATTTGAAGGAGTAAAAAGAACCTTTATAAAAAAAGGTTAAACCGGTTCAGTTTTTATATTTTAGGAATCAAAAAAATTTGAATGTCCAAAATTATATAAACTTGCTCTTATAGTACTGATGGTTCCCGCAACACAAGTTTTAGTAGAAAGATCCTTTTCGTGGATAAAATTTGTGTTATCGTCACAACAAACAAATATGAATCCATTTATATGAGAATATATTACTTATAATATATTTAAAAATGAGTTATTTTGAATCGTATATATTTTTTTTATATATAATTCATAGATGCTTATAACAAAAATAAATTAGACGATGGTGTTGCTTCAATAAAAAAAAATTCTAACCGTAATGAACCATTATGAACCTTATAATTAGCTGAACCGAAGCTTTGTAATTTTTTCTTAAGAACCGTAACCAAAACGTAACCATTATAATTTTTTACATAATGAACGGTAACCAAACTGAACCGTTATAAATAACGGTTAGGGTCCCTGTATATTATGCATTTATTTTATTTATAAAATAGATACGATTTTGGGCATATTTAAATTACTGTTAAAATGAAGAGAAAAAAAAATAGATTAGTGATTATGGTCAATCTCAAATCACTTTTTCGGTACATTTCTAGTTAAAATTTATCGCCCAATCCGGAGAAATATTAAGTGTATTTGTCAAATAATTCTATTCTAAAGTGATAAAAGATTTTTTTTAAAATTATTTCAAGCTAATTTATTGCTTATCTTTGGATTGTTCGAAATATACGGTAGTTATATCATTTGACACATAAAGATGAGTGCGAAGAACGAAATCCAACAGGCATGTTACATGCGGTTAGACGCTGGTATGAGTTAAAAAAATGACTAAAAAAAGATATCGAAAAGGTCTTGAAGAAATTGTTTTTAGCACGCTCTCTTCTAAAAAATTAATCCAATCAATTGTCTGACCATGGATTAATCCACTGCCCCCCCCCCCCCTCCTTGCAGACATCTAAAACAGAACCAAAATGTATGACATTTATATATGATTGAGTTTGAGTTAAAAGGTAGGACATTGAAAAACGGTAAATGAGTGTTGAATGAGGGATATGATCGAAACAACACATATTTTCTAAGTACTCAGATACTAGCACAATAAATAGCTCCACATAAGTCAATTCCAAAATAGTCTAATCGAGCTTTGCTCAGTCATGACTCATGTGCCTTGGACTTAACCTAGAAGGTTAAGATAGAAGAATCAGCTGTTGCCTCAATGCTTAGCTGATTCGTGCTCATACCATGTTGATCGATTAGTTGATTTTCCATTCCTGTACGTACATGGCATGGGAAAAATTGCAGGTAGGCGAAAAATAAATTGGAAAAAGATTTCTAGTGTAAAAAAAAATTATTATTTATTTAAAATATAAAACTGATAGAGGCAATAAATGTAATAATGATGAAGAAAATAAATAAATAGAAGAAATTTAAGAAGATATAGAGAAAGTAGCAAAAGGATCTAGGGAAGAGAAGAAGGTAATGTTGAAAGAATTATGGCATATTATTCGATGGAGGAGATAAGGCTTAGATAGTTAGAGAGATTGTGGTAGCAGGTCTTTATCCAAAAAGAGATTCTTTAGGTTGATCATTCTTTATGCGGACCTGTCTCCATAATTCTCTAAAAAGCTTTGTGCTTTGCTACCAGAGGACGTAAAGTAGAGCAGGCATTGAATAAATAAGAAGGGTGGATAGAATAATATTTGCTTATTTTCCGAGATTGGGGGAGTGCGAGGGGATTGGAATTGTTTTAGGAGCATTTGGATCAATCAGGTAAAGTTCTAAACAGAAGCTGACTCCTTGATCATGGAATTGAGGACATTCTGTCTGGATGATTCCACTGGTCCTAAAGATGCCAGTTAGTTCCAATCTAGTAGAATACTCACTGATTTGAGTGCTAACAAAATTAGATCATTGCATTTATGCTGTGGGAAACAGCTTCACCAAAATCTGCAGTGAAACCCTTGCTATCAGCACTGGTTTCACAATGTTTGCAATGGGGTGACAAAACAATTTCTCAGTTAAGCCTTAGTAATATAGCAAATCTTAGCCTGTCTACAGAGGGGGGAGAGGGTATAGTTAGAAACTCATAGCTAAATCCTTTGTTTGTGTAGTAAAAACTATGAGATGATAGTCAAGGCTCAATTTTATATAGCAACTGAACCTTCATTAGTGGAGAATCCAAGTTTTTTATACACACGAGGAAGATCCCTGAGTGTTTGAAACTAAGAAATTATTCCATATGGCCTGGGTTTTAACTATGAGGAATTACTAATGTAAGAAATGGATGAGACAGGAGGCGATGAACCCTAGATGATCATAAACTAATGCACCCAAGTTTGCATGGAAGCGATGCTTGTAGCCATGAGTTGTGAAGCAGAGAGGATTGAAGATCTCCTTGGCTTAAGATATTTCAGAAATTCTGAATGACTTTAGTAAATCAGGAAATTTGAAAATGGAAGTAAATCGATAAAATATTTGGGAATATAGTAGGTTTTTAAGAAAGAAGTTTGCTGAGGATGGAGATGTTTTTAAATTGAAATAAGGTTGTGGGTAAGACAATATAAAGTAAATATAATAAAACCATATATAAATAATAATTAAGGCTGTGCTGATTTAGTGTTTAAAAAAAAAATCGGATCAGGCCAATACCTGTAAAAAAACTGATCCGATCTTTTTACTTATTTTTGTTATTTTATGTAATATATATTTATTTTACATTATTATAATATTTCAAAAAGTTTTTATTTATTTTTAAAACAATGGAAATGCACAACCCCCCATTGAAATTGATAGTAATGTAGATGGCCTGATACTTGAAAGAAATCAATGAATATTTAAAAAAATCTTAATATCTAGATGGTATAATAACATATTTTTCATATTTTATCTAGTATTACTTGGTGTGGTATATGATTATTTTTCAAATCCAACAAAAGGTTGGGTTTGTATGAAACCTACTATTTTAAAAATTCTAATTTTATGTGTTTATTTAGGTAACTCTAATAACATTAATATTAATAATATATCCCCTGTGGACCCACTTGACTATTGAATAATTAATGCTGAAAAGTATCCAACTTTGTCAAAATTTGCATGTAAATTTTTGGCACTCACTGCAACAAGTGTCCCATCTGAGTCCATCTTTAGTAAGGCATGGGATATAGATTCCTCATCCTAGAAGCTTATTGCAAAAAATATAGAGGCTCTCATATTTATTAAAATAACATAATATAAATTTTATATATTTGCAATTTTATTATTCATACTAGCATATATATTATTCAAAATAAAATGGATATATTATTAAATATATATTTTTTTTAAATTATAATCTTAATTATAAAAATAAAAATATTAAAATTAAATTAAGTGCATAAGATTTTTTAATTACATTTGGTTCAAATGGGGCGGTAAAACATCAATATAAATATTGGATCGGTGAAAAATATGTGAATCAGTACAGTCCTAATAATAATTAAATGGTAGTGTGCTTCTATACTAAAATTGAGATAAATTAAGAACTTACAAAATTTTTAGTTGTGTTTGATTTTAGAATCAAATCATTTCTTAGCAATTGATATTCTAAGGAATGTTAATCATCAATAGGGGGGTTAGGCTAATTTTTATAAGGTAATAGAAACAAAATGCCAAATTTTATGGTCAAAATATTTTCTAAAATGAGGGGGGGGGGTAATAATTATGGGACTGAATATAAAGACAGGACTTTATAATTTTTATTAAATACTAGATTATTTTATCATGGCTTTTTTTTTAATAGTTTGATTTAAATCTACAATAGGTATAATAAGGTATACTAAATAATAGAATCTAAACTCCAGGCAATGAGAATAGTATTAGCTTGAATAATTTACAGTTATTTTAAATTTCTAGCACTATCCATAGTTGCATTTATAATTTAAAACAATTTTAATCTATTATATAAAACAGTATATATCTTAAATAAAATGCAAAATTAATCCAACTATAAATTCAATTTAACCATAGACACAAACAAGGGCAATTCTCAGTCTTACCCCTCCCCCATTATAAATTTGAGTCTAAATAATAATTTAAAAAAATATATACATTAGGTGTGGACATCTATTTGCAAAACCTTGAGGCTTAGGCAATATTGTTCTGTCTAAATTAGCCTATTTTTATGCACAGACGCCACAAGAATTTGTTGAATGGTTTTTATCTCGACCTATTTATATAGCATAAAAGAACTACTACCTAGAAAATACAAATGAGGGTTTTAAAGTAATAACTCATAAATATAAAAGTAAATACTTTAAAACAACTAATGCTTGATAAATATAAATAATTTTTTCATGAAACAACAATCTCAAATATACCTTTTTATTCTTATGCGAGCTCTGACTATCTTCTTCCGAATTTTGCTTATTATAATGTCTAGATCTTTTACCAAAAGTAATATCAAAAAAGGTTCCATCCTTTAAAGGCGAAAGACAAACTTCGGAGTCCGAATAACGCTTAGATTGGTGCGCGCCCATTGAATTTGTAAATTATATACACAGAAGGAAATATTTATAACATTCTGAATCTGGCGCAAAAATATTATAGATATGTGTCACCTCTCACTTTTCATCAATGATATATATGCAGCTCATATAAAATCGACAAATGTAAGTTTTCCCTTTTTTTATATTTATTCTAATCACTACAATTTAGCCATACTAGTCTGTTATCGCTATTTTACGTGATACGTGATAAAAGCGTTTTCGCCCTCTGGTTGTGGATACAACAGAGCTACGCTAGGTTTTCCTCAAAAATCCATCAAACTGGATAGTTAATTTAGGGGAGGAAAAAAAAAATGAGGAGCCCTTCACACGTTTGTGGGCAAGCCGCACGTACTTGTACGCGCAACAGTCCGAGAACTGTCGCTTAAACGTCTATAGGCTAATCAACAAAAGAGATGGGCAAAAACAAAAGCCTATACCCATGAACTGCCTAAATAATTTAATTACTTTAAGGGTGGGTGGTGGCCAATTTTAAGTTTAACATCTAATGTAAGCCTTGATAGTTACTAACAAATAATTGAGAATGTGTTCATATCAATTGAGATTAGAATTTATTCATGAAAATTAGGAAAAGCTAAAATGGGTTTACCACAAATTGTTTAAAAGGTGAAAAATCCAGTGAATAGGCAAAAACTAGTCAGTAATCGGTTTATGACTATCCAGCAAACGAACACCACACAACAAACGGTTATTTTTCCTTTTTCCAGAGAAACAAAATACTCTATGGAGTGATAGATAGATTATATAGCGAAAAAGGTCTTTGATAATGATAAAGATATGAGAGAAAGGAAACTATGACGCAGAAATAGGAGCCAGCTCCGTAAGTTTTAGGAAATTGAAAAGTAATTGTTGGCCAGGATTAACAAAGGCATTTTGGCTTGATTGTTATATGATAGTCTATCATTCACGGAAAACTCTACCAGCAAAACATATTTACAAACCTCGCCACCCCCCTGTCGACTGGTTTCTCCATAAATGAAGTAACAAGCGAACAAAGACTAATGAAAAAAAAACACTAAGAGAAAGCAAAAGCTCCAGGGCCAGATAATATCACAGCAGAAAAACCAAAAAATAAATAGCATCTATAACAATATCGCTACCTATTTGCCCTCATTTAATAGAAATATGGGAGAGCGGAACTACTGCAGTGGGATGAAATCAAAAATCCTACCTAAGTAACTACCCAAAAACTAAGACCACAAGAAAATTAAGACTTATTGAGCTATAGCCATCACATCCTATAGCATGGAAAAAGCATAACACCCACACCAAAAATACATAAGTATATACAGACCAAGAAAAGAAAATACTGGATCCAAAATTAATTTAGAAAAATAATCATGCAGAAAAACTAAGTACAAAACCCCTTCTGCTTTACATTTGTGAATTATAACAGAGCTATTGATAATGTTAACCATGCAGTTTTTTCAGAAAATAAGATAAATAAAAGCTGAAGTCAGTGAAGTAAGTAATTCACAGAATAGGTGAAAGACAAAAATCAAGAGGTAAAATTTAGAGATGAAGAAATTAAATAACCTGAAAAATACAGAAAATAAATTATGGGAGGTTTAGGTAATTCGATTTAATTTTTAGTAGTTTTTTTATAGATTTTTTGTTTTTATTTAGCCTTAGGAATTGCTTCAAATTTAAGTTTAGATCCATTATGTCCTTCAAGGCTCTGTAGAACCATAATGTCTTATATTTGCAATATGTTTTCCCATTAAAGGAGTATAACCAATTAATGGCATCAATAACAAGGCTATTGTTACTATGATTTCTTAAAATATGGGCAAAGAAAGTAAGACGTTTCTTTTTTAAAGATACGTGAACCTGGGTATGGTTAGACTTCTTCCAAAGATTTTCATTTGAGATAATATTTGGATAGAAGATTCCATTTATTATTCTAAGGCATTTATTTACAAACGTTTGTAATTTCCTAGTTTCGGTCTTGGTAATCTCCCATGTATCACCGCCATAAAAGAGAATCGGGATGATGGTTGAGTTAAAAATACAGAGTCTTGTGAAAACGGATATCTCTCTAGCTTTCCACAGTTTAAAAAATTTATAAAAAGCCGCCCTAGCATTTTGTAAACGAATTTTTAGTTCTTCTTTACAACTACCTTTATTGTCAATGGTTACACCTAGATATTTAAAAGAATCTACCACCTTAACCAACTTTCCCCCCACCACCAAATTATTCAGAAGAGGCGCCTGGGACGAGGGCATTATCACTGTTTTATCAAAGTTAATGTCCAAGCCAACCTTAAGACTAAAGGAGTTTAATATAGCGATCAAATTTTGGGTTTCTTCCAAACTTTTTGTTATCAAAACTATGTCGTCAGCATAAGATATCACCCTATTTTCCAAGAAAAAAGACTGACTGGAACTTAATTCTAAGAGATTCGCAGTAGCCAGCGTATCTACTATGATTTTATTCATAAGTATATTAAACAAAAGCGGGGAAAGAACACATCCTTGTTTTACCCCTTTTTTTGTCCTAAAAGATGGAGAAACCTTATTATAAATTTTTAAGGAGGCAAAAAGACTACTATAATGTGTTTTAAGGATCCTTATAATATTAGAGTCAATGCCATATTCGGTTAAAATCTTCCAAAGCTCATCATGGTTAACATTATCAAAAGCACGTTTAAAGTCGATAAAAATAAAGTAAAAAGGTAATTTATACTTCTGACATTTCTGCATTATAATCTTTAAAGCTAATATTGGTTCGTTTATATTTCTACCTGGACGGTAAGCACAAATATACTTAGACAAAAGGTTTGGTGTAGAGGAAAGAATGCGATTTTTTAAAAGAACCATAAAAACTTTTGATGCAATAGACGTGAGAGCGATGGCTCTATAATCCTTGAATTTAGATGGATTTGGAATTTTCGGGAAGTTGCAAAAGATAGTCTTATTCCAATCCGCTGGCATCATCCCAGTCAACCATATCTTGTTAAACAAAGGAAGTAAGAACCGAGAGATCGTTAAGGGAGCTGCTTTCAGATGTTCTCCCGTAATGTTATCTGTACCCGGAGATTTATTATTCCTAAGCTTCTTAATGGCAGCCACAATTTCCGCCGATGAAAAGTTTGCATCCAATTGTCCCCCATTTTGACTAGTGGATGGGATTAAGGTAGGCCTCCTAGAATCAAAGACTCCCATATAGTGGTCAAGCCATAACGCTATCTGTTCGTCAGGGTCAGTAATTAACCTATTATTATCCAGTCTTATAGTTGGAAGTGTCTTGAACACTTTGGCTTTACAAAAATAATTTAGTTTCTTGTAGGCGTCGAAAGTTCTATTTTCCCTCATATCCCTGTCTATCTCAAAAGCCTTTTTAGCAATAAAGATCCTTCTATCTCTCCTTAGGAGTCTATGAATTGAGGTCCATAAGTGACCATCGCGCTCACCTCGTAACTTGAGTTGAGCTATCATGCGAGTGGTGTCATCGGATAGCCATTCCTGTCTCGGTGGAGAAATGTTGATGTTAGGGAGATGATTGTAGGCATCAAACAAGTTGTTTTTGAAAGACGCCCAACATTCTTCGACAGATTGAGACTCCGACGAGGATAAGAAAGTTGCCTCTCTATCATTTAAGAATAGATCGAGCTGTAGTTTGACTGCAGGGCGTTGCAGGTGAGTTGCATTTCTCTTCCAGGACAGGTATCTCGGCTGGGGTTGAAGAGAAGGACGCCGAGAGTTTCCCCATAAATTTTTCACAGTGATAGTGGCTCTGATTAATTTATGATCAGAAATATTAATATTTGGCATTACTTTTACATCGATAAACCAACTATGGATGTTCGAGATGATAAAATCGATCTGAGACTTAATATTATTTCTACTGAAGGTTAGGGTGTTTAATTCACTGTGCGAAAAGAAAGTATTTTCGACCTTGAGGTTTATACTCCTGCACATCTCCAATAACTTTCTACTGTCATCACTGTTTAATTGAGAGAGAGTTGCATTCCCAATTACCCCATCTCTAATAAAGGAGTCATCTTTTCCGATCCTAGTATTTAAATCCCCAAGAATTATCAAATTTCGACTCCTAGGAAGAGAGTTTACAATGTTTTCGAGGTCATCGAGGAATGCGAGCCGTTCGTTTCTTCTAGGCGGGGCATAGACATTAACTAAGATTGTTTGCCTGAAGCAGGTGTTCAGGTATAGTAAACAGCATCTCTCCGAAATGGGCACAAATTTATCCACGTATTTGCATAATCTTTTGCTGATAAAGAAAGCAACTCCCGACCAATTATTGGAAGTGGTGCCAGAACTATACATTTCAAAGTTATTAAAGGTAGCCATATTATTATCTTTTGAGTGGGTCTCCTGTATCGCGATCACATCCACATTATAAATATACCAGTGATATTAGGCGTCGACTTCATGAGGACTGCAGGGTTCATGCCCGCATTGACAAATTACTATAAATGAGGATAGGGGCTGAGTCCTGTTAAAAAAAGTGGAATCATCAATCAAAGATATATATCTTAGACATTCTTTAGACATCAAAATATGCAGAGGTCAATGTGAAATTCGCGATTTTATAGTATTAAAATCAGAGTTGTACATTTGCTCAAAATAAAAAGATCTTCAAAGATCGTAAAATTTGAAGATCTTTTATTTTTTAAAAATTTTGTGTAACGATCTTCAAAGATCTTCATGATATTTATTTTTTTACCCCTTTATTAAAAGCCCAGATGTTTTTCAATTTTATTAATATAATATTTCTTATATGTTTTATACCTCTCCTCCTGCCTTGATGAAAATTGAAAAATATCTGGGCTTTTAATAAAGGGGTAAACAAATAAATATCATGAAGATCTTTGACGATCGTTACACAAAATTTTTAAAAAATAAAAGATCTTCAAATTTTACGATCTTCAAAGATCTTGCTCAAATTTTTGAGCTAGATCTCGCTCAAAAATCTTCAAAGAAGATCTTTTGTACAACTCTGATTAAAATAGTATTTATTTTCGAGATTCTTTCAAACGCATGGAGATATTTCGTTCCAACCTAAAAGAAAGTGATGGTTTGACTT